GGCAGGTGCAGCCTATTAGGTAGGATTGTTAGGTTAACTCCGCTATACGTACATGAAGGAAGAGATAGAGGGGAGAGGGAGAAGTTATGGTGAAATTAGTGATAATAAGAAGGGAGGGGGGTGAGGAACAGGTTGGGCTGGAGTGCCCGGCCCCGCGGGTCGCCCCCATCCAACACAGAGCTTGCTCACTGGAGTTTGCTTGAAAGTATGCTATTTAAAGTAGTCTATTTTAAGTAGGAGTTAAAACAACAGGAGTTGAAACTACAAGGGCTTTTAAACCAAGAGGGTAAATATTGTTTTTGCTCACTTGTGATTTTTGTAACTGGGGATGAGTGCTTGCAAGATTGCGAGTTTAACTACACATCATGCCACATGAATGCATGCCTGGATGATTCTGTCCAGGGTCAATACCTCTGTGGTGGGTGTGAGCGAGTGGCATTTCTGGAAGCTCAGATTAGAGATCTGGAGAGGCAAATTGTAACACTGAGGGAGATTGTCAATCTTGAGAGGAGTCTGCTGCTCACTGAGCAGAGTTTAGTGGGGACAGGTAGCGGAGAGGGAGGAGATAAGACAGATGGGAACAGGCACGTAGCTGGGTGACAGTGGGGCAAGGAAGCGGGGGGGGAGGGAAGAGAAAAGGTTTAGCTAGTCCTGATCTCATGCAGCCTAACAGATTTGCCAGTTTGAGTAAAGATGTTGGGAGCATCAGCTCAGGAGTAGCTGTACTGCAGGAAGCTGTTCTTGCTAACAGCCGTGGGAACAGCCCCTCTAGTACGGGTGGGGTTAAGAGGGTAAGGAAGTCTAGACTGGTTGTGGTGGTAGGGGACTCTATTATTAAGAGAGTAGATAGGGTAATCTGCCACTCTGATCGACTCAACAAGACAGTTTGCTGTCTCCAAGGTGCTCGGGTCCGGTATGTTGCCGACAGAGTTGAGGGATTATTGGGAGGGGCTGGAGATGACACAGCTGTCATGGTCCATATTAGTACCAATGACAAAGTCAGAGGAAAATGGAAGGTCCTAAAGAATGAGTTCAGGGAACTATGAAGTAAGCTAAAGAAAAGGACCTCCAAGGTAATTTTTTCAGAAATATTACCTGTGCCGCGTGCTACAGCAGAAATGCAGCGGGAGATTAGAGTGGTCAATGCGTGGCTAAAGTCTTGGTGCAGGAAAGAGGGTTTGGGGTTTTTAGAGCACTGGACCGATTTTGCGCTTGGGTACAACCTGTATAGTAATGATGGATTGCACCTAAACAGAAGAGGGTCCGCTGTGTTGGGGGATAGGATGGCTAGAAGGTTGGAGGAGATTTTAAACTAGTGGTGGGGGGGAGGGTCAAAGCAATCTAGAAAATGGAGATAGGATGGAAAGGAGATGTGCTTTAGCTCAGAACAAAGGGGGTGGAGATGGGGGAGGGGAAAGCTCAGAAAAGAGGAGGTATGTAATATTGATAATTCACAAAAAGTACAAAAGACTCATGATAATATTAAATATATGCTTACTAATGCAAGGAGCCTATATAACAAAATGGGGGAACTAGAGGCAATAGTATACACTAAACAATATGATATAGGCATAACAGAAACATGGTGGGATGAGACACATGACTGGGCAGTTAATTTAAATGGGTACACATTATTTAGGAAGGCTAGGAGAAACAAGAAGGGTGGTGGGGTATGTTTATATGTCAACCATTAGTTAAAGTCAAATCTTAGGCCTGTGGAGTGTGACGAGGAAAATGTGGAGGCTTTATGGCTAGATATCTCCTTGGGGCAAACAAAGGGAAATCAATTATTGGTTGGGATATGTTATAAACCACCTAATGTAAATATTATTGAGGAAGAACAGCTGTTAGAGCAAATTGAGAAAGCTGCAAATCGAGGTAACACATTAATTATTGGAGATTTTAATTACCCAGACATAAATTGGGATAGAGGGACTAGTACTTCAGCAAGGGGAATCAGGTTTTTGAATGTGTTAAATGACACCTTAATGTCACAACTGGTACAAGCACCAATTGGAAAGGATGCTTGTCTGGATCTCGTCATAACAAACAATGTTGATCTTTTAACCAACATTCAAGTAGGGGAGCATTTGGGAAATAGTGATCACAATATGGTAACTTTTGAAAAAAACTCAAAAAAGCAGAAGCAAGTGGGGTATACTAAAACATATAATTTAAAAAAAAGCCAATTTCAATAAGATTAGGGCAGCTCTACAACATAAACTCCTTAGTGATAAAAACACTGAGGATAAATGGAAACTATTCAAACAAATATTAGAAAGGTACATTTCTCAGTATGTACCATTTGGTAATAAATATAAAAGAAACAAATTAAAACCAATATGGCTTAGTAGAGAAGTAAAACAAGATATTAAAAATAAGAAAAGGGCATTTAAAGCATTTAAATTAGACAAATCAGAGGCATCCTATTTAAGATATAAAATTACTAGCCAATAACGCTTGCAAAAAGGCAATTAAAGTGGCTAAACTAGAAAATGAGACATTGATAGCTAAAGAATGCAAAACCAACCCCCAAATTTTTTTCAAGTACATCAATTCTAAAAAAACAAAAAATGAAAGTGTAGGTACACTGGAAACAGAGTTGGGTTTATTAGCTAATGAAGACCAGGAAAAAGCAGAAATTTTAAATAACTATTTTTCTTCAGTATATATTAATGAGGATCCTATGGCAAGAGATATGCAAATGATTGCTGCAAAAAACTTGCAAATAACTTGTGATTGGATAACTCGAGACAAGGTGCTACAGCTATTAAAGAAAATTAATGTAAATAAAGCTGCGGGGCCTGACGGTATTCACCCACGAGTACTTAAGGAGCTAAGTGGGGAAAAAAGTAAACCTCTGCATCTGCCTTTTGTTTCAGGTGTTGTACCGGAGGATTGGAGGAAGGCAGATGTTGTTCCTATATTTAAAAAAGGTTCAAAATCCTTGCCTGAAAATTATAGACCTGTGAGCTTAACTTCTGTAACGGAGAAAATATTTGAATGTCTATTAAGGAATAATATTCAGGAATTCATTGGGAAGAACTTTGTTATTAGCAATAATCAGCATGGTTTTATGAAACATAGGTCATGTCAAACTAACCTAATTGCATTCTACGAAGAAGTAAGTAGAAGTATAGATCAGGGTGTTGCAGTGGATGTGATCTACTTGGATTTTGCCAAGGCATTTGATATGGTTCCTCACAATAGGTTAGTCTTCAAACTAAAAGAAATTGGTCTGGATGAATATTCTTGTTCTTGGGTAGAACATTAAGGATAGAGTACAACGAGTTGTAATTAATGGTAAATTTTCAGGCTGGACAAAAGTGGTAAGTGGTATCCCTCAGGGTTCTGTTTTGGGACCACTTCTATTTAACATATTTATAAATCATCTTGAAATAGGCATTGAAAGCCATGTATCAGTGTTTGCAGATGACACAAAACTTTGTAAAGTAATAAAATGTGAGCAGGATATTGCTTTGCTGCAGAGGGATTTGGATAGTTTGGGGGACTGGGCCCTAAAATGGCAGATTAAATTTAACGTAGAGAAATGCAAAGTTATGCACTTCAGGGTTAAGAATGCACAAGCAACTTACACACTAAATGGTAGTGAATTAGGGATAACCACACACGAGAAGGATTTGGGAATTGTTATAGATAACAAATTAGGAAGCAATATGCAATGTCAATGTGCAGTTGCTAAGGCCAGTAAGGTTTTGTCATGTATAAATAGGGGCATAAATTCTCGGGATGAAAATATAATTTTGCCTCCTTATAAATCGCTGGTAAGACCACACCTTGAATATGCTGTGCAATTTTGGGCACCTGTTCTAAAGAAAGATATCATGGCACTAGAAAAAGTCCAGAGACGAGCTACAACATTGATAAAAGGAATGGAGCATTTTAGTTATGAAGAAAGGTTAAAAAAATGTAATCTGTTTAGTTTGGAAAAACGGCACCTGAGAGAGGATATGATAACTTTATACAAATATATTCGGGGCCAGTACAAACCTTTATCTGGAAATCTATTCATAAACAGGGCTATACATAGGACACGAGGTCACACATTTAGGCTGGAAGAAAGGAGATTTCATCTAAGGCAAAGAAAAAGTTTTTTTACAGTAAGAGCAATAAGGATATGGAATTCTCTGCTGAAGAGGTGGTTTTGTCAGAGTCACTACAGAGATTTAAACTGCAATTGGATAAATACTTACAAAAACATAACATACAGGGATATAATTTCTAATTAGTGGGGTAATAGCTGCTTGATGCAAGGAGACATCTGACTGCCATTTTGGGGGTCAAGAATGAATTTTTTACTAGTTTGTGGCAAAATTGGAAGTGCTTCAGACTAGGTTTTTTGCCTTCTTTTGGATCAACAGCAACAACATATGTGAGGAAGGCTGAACTTGATGAACGCAAGTCTCTTTTCAGCTATGTAATTATGTAACTATGTAACACACCACTGGCGCGCTCAGGTCCTCCACTCCACTCCCTACCCGGTGGGTTGGTCTCCGGGATAGTCTCTGTTGCACAGGTAGTACGTCCATGTCCTCCAGATCTCCCTGTGTTTCTCCAGCCTTCCACTTACCGCCGCTATTTCAGCTTCCACTTGTCTAATCTCCTCCACTCTCTGGAGCCAGGCTTGGAACGTCGGTGGCTGTTTCTGCTGCCACAATGCTGGGATCAGTGATTTTGCTGCCATTAGGAGGTGTCAGGACACGGTTTTCTTATACCTCGATATGGGTAGGTCTATTCGGTTGATTAGGATATCTGCGGGGTCAAAAGCAACCCCCTCCTCAGCCACCTCCCGCATTGCCTCGTATATTTGTTCCCGTACGGTGTTATGAGTGGGCATGCCCAGAAAATGTGAAGGAGAGTTCCCACCTCCCTCTCACATCTCCAGCCGTGCTCAGAGACTGCTGGTTGGTATTTATGAATCTTCTGTGGTGTGTCGTACCACTGAGTATTTTATAGTTGATTTCCTGATATCTAACACATCATGAGCTGAGGGACTTGCACAAGGCCATCTTGTCCCATTTGGGCGGAGTATACGTTGTGTGTAGTGCCTCTTCCCATTGCACCAGGAACTTCATAGGAGGGACTGCATCCGCCTGCTGCAGGAGTGTGTAGAGGACCGATATACCCCGATGGAGGCCTTCACCTTTAGAGCAAGTCTTCTCGAAAGGGAGCAGAGTAGCGTGTCCGGAGAGCCGAAAGCGTGTCCGGTACCAAACCTTCAGCGTCGCCCCAATAAAGGGTTGTTCACATGTCAATTTTTTGGCTGTGTCGTCTGGCAGCCATACTGCTCCCGGGATACCTCCCTTCGAAGCATCTCTCTCCAGCATTGTCCAGATCCTCTGTGTGTTGGTTTCATGCCAGGCTGCAATTCTCTACAGGTGTGTTGCTTTGTAATAACCCACTATGTCTGGTATGCCAAGTCCCCCTTCCGCCTTTGGTCTCATCCGGTGTCCCAATCGTATACGTGGTCTGCGCCCCTTCCATTTGAATTCTATCAGAGCCGAATTAAGGGATTGAAAAAAGGTGGATGGGAGGTCGATCGGGATGGTCTGGAACAGATATAGGATTCAAGGGAGAATATTTATCTTGATGGAGTTGATGCATCCCGTCCATGAAAAATGTGGTGTAGTCCACTATTTCATATCCGAGCAGAGGCAGGATAGCAGTGGTTGGAAATTAAATTGGTACAGCTGGTGTAGATTCTTAGGGACCCAGACCCCCAGGTATTTGATGCGTTCTGTGCACCAGCGAAAGGGAAAGTGTGTCTTTAGGTCATCCAGGTCTCGTGTCAGAGCCGTGACATTGAGCACCTCTGACTTGTCCAGATTAAATTTGAAATTGCTGATGTTTCCGTACATTTTGAATTCGGCTATAATGTTCGGGAAGGAGATTCGCTGTTGCTCTACGTAGAACAAAAGATCGCCCGCGTAGGCCGAGCCCTTGTGTTCCACTCCCGCAAATCTGAATCCATGGATCGAGGGGTTGGACCGAAGAGCACAAAGAAAAGGTTCCAGCATGAGGACAAATAGTATAGGGGAGAGAGAGCATACCTGTCGCATCCCGTTCGTAATTCATACTGACGTGGAGAGGCCCCTGTTCACATGTACTCTAGCCGTTGTTACAGGGTAAAGAGCCCGGATCCACTTGCAGAAAGGTTCCCCAAAGCCCATCTTCTGTAGTGTGCTAAACATGTATCGCCAGTTCACCCAGTCAAACGCCTTTTCTGCGTCCGTTGAGAGTATGACCTGGAGACGGCGTGAAGTTGAAACTAGGTGTATAAGGCTGAGAAGCCTAATGGAGTTGTCCATCGCTTCCCTTCCCGGTATGAATCCACTCTGATCTGGGTGTATCAGAGATGGGAGGATTGTCTTCAAACGGCTTGCTAGTATCTTGGCCAGCAGTTTGCAGTCGGAGTTGAGCAAGGAAATCGGCCGATAGCTGGCACATTGTTCTGGATCTTTGTCTTCTTTGGGCAGTATAGTGATGTGAGCCATGAGCGATTCCCTACCCAATCTGCTGTCTTGCAATAACGAGTTAAATGAGGCCATCAGCGGTGATAGAAGGACGTTGCCAAATTTCTTGTAGTATTGGAGTGGGAGGCCACCCGGGCCTAGCGTCTTTCCCGTTTTGGAGGACTTGATTGCCCCCTGGAGCTCTTCTATGGTGATTTCCTGGCCCAGAGTGGATGCCACATCCTGTGAGATTGACTTGTGTACATGTGTCGAGAGGTACTCCTCCATCTCCTCGAGTTGTCTAGCGGAGAGTGCCGGTTTCACAGTTTCTGAGATATATATATATAGACAGGTGGGGCCTACGCGGAGTCTATGTATGTGGAATCTCTCTTGACATTTTTTGAGCATTTTCACCATAAGGTGCCTGGATTTTTGTAGCATGTTGTTGTCGCTAGGTCCTTTCTGAGCAAGAGGAGCTCGCGTAGGTCTGAGTCGCTGAGGGTTTGTTTGTGACATAGTTCCACAGTCGCAATTCCATCCAGAATGGTCCGTATTCTTTCCGCCCCGACTCTCTTCTTGTGCGCTCCTATGGAGATGAGAACCCCTCGAATAACACTCTAGTGGGCCTCCCATATAGTAGACTGACCTGTGTCTGGATGGGAGGAAACCCACTTTAAAAAGGGACATACGTCTGCATTGTTTACTAAGCAATTTCCCACTCAATATCATTATCTGTCCGACAGTAAGACCAAAGGAGTCTCCATTTTCATACATAAAGACATAGCCTTTACACCCCAGAGGCAATATATTGACCCGCAAGGAAGGTTTATTATTCTACTTTGCCTATTTAATAATACCCAGTACACGCTAGCTACAGCCTACTTCCCTAATGATAACTCTAGGAATTACCTTCAATCACTAGTAACCAAAATTGACAAATATAAACAGGGAGGACTTCTCCTTTGCAGAGATTTTAAAGTTACCCAAACCCCCTGGACACAACTAAGACTAAAAACACCCGCAGCCACCGAACCAGAGAGAAAGTGTGTAAAACAGTAACCAAACTCCTCTCATTACATGACCTGTATGATGCCTGGGGGGCTCTCCATCCTACAGAGCGAAATTCTATTCGCAGTTTTATTCGCAGTTACATAACACGTACACCCAAATAGATGCATTCCTCTTGGATAGAGCAATTCTGGCTCAGGTCTCTAGGTGTGATATAGATGAAATCACATGGATGGACCATAGTCCTGTTACCCTTCAACTCTATGACAAGTATTAGTTTAAAGGTAAAGGAGCATGGCGTCTTAATGATTCCTTGCTACCAAAGCCTGAATTTGCCTCCACTATCCGCATGGAGATACAAGAATATTTCAAAGCCAATGTTAACCATGACATTTCAGATTTAACAGTATGGTCTGCGCACAAGGCTGTCGCTAGGGGTCTGTTTATACGCCAATCGACCTTCCATCAAAACACTAGCCTATTAGAATGTCATAGGCAAATAGCCCTAATGACTGCTCTAAATTAGTCACAACCTACGAAAGAAGGGGCAGCTAAGCTGGCTCGACTGTACACCCAACTTACGGAATTGAACGCTGAAAAAACTAAATATATTCTCCATAAGTTAAGGGCTAACACATATCATAGCAGTGGCAAGGCAACTAAATATCTAGCTTCTAGACTACGCGGCAAATATTCTGCCACCAAAATAGCTCATATTATTGATGATGAGGGTCAGAAAAAGATTAATCCTGAGGACATAAGCCATGAGTTCGTAAACTTTTAATTGAAATTGTACAATGTCCACATGAGTGACACCATACATAACCAGAACAACGAGAGTATATCTCGATATCTGTCCAACATACACATGCCACAACTCTTACAAATGCAAACTGAGGAGCACCTGCAACCCATAACTCTTACAGAGGTTTTGTCCGCTATTAAAGGCCTACCCTCAGGCAAGTCCCCAGGTGCAGACAGCCTCATGAATACTTGTTATAAAACATGTAGAGTAATTGACTCCTCATCTCTTGAAGGTCTACTTAGAAGCTACTAAATCTGGCTCACTACCACCAGAGATGCTCTTAGCCACAATTTTTACTATACCTAAACCTGATAAACTAACAGATGTGTGCAAGAACTTTCAATATTAAATACAGAAGTGAAGATTTATGCTTAAATCCTAACAAATAGGCTGAGCCCCATTCTACCAGACTTAATAGTTGATGAACAAATAGGTTTTGTTCAAGGGCGGCAGGGATTGTATAATACCCATAAGTTGTCCCTGGTACTTGAGCAACTCAGGAGGACAGGCCGGGGAGGACTACTCTTGGCTCTAGATGCCGAAAAAAGCATTTGACCGCCTCTGCTGTTCCTTTCTGAAACATGCCCTAACCAAGTACGGATTCCCACCATAAGTCATAAAGCAAATATTTGCCCTATACTCTACTCCAATGGCCCAGGTAATACAAGCAGGATTCCTGTCCAGCCCTTTTAAGGTCAGCAATGGGATGAGACAGGGGTGCCCATTCTCTCTCCTATTATATATACTTGCATTAGAGCCACTTTGAAACACCCTAACATTCAGGGGATAGAGATATGTGGTTGAGAAGTTAAAGTGAGCTCATTCACAGATGATATCCTTCTCTACGTTTCCCGGCCGACAACATCCTTACCCTTAATTATGGAACTCATACAGGAATATGGACTACAGTCATATTATTCCATTAACAACTCCAAAACCCAAGCACTGAGTGTTGGTTTACCATTAGCCGATATAACTAGCCTACAAGAACGATACCCCTTTTAGTGCCGGAAAGATAACATTAAATACCTGTTAACCAAAAATGAGACAGAACTATACACGAGAACTACATAAGAGTATGGAATGAGTGTAAACAGATTATCAAGCGTTGGAGACCCCTGTACCTGACATGGATGGAAAGGATTGTAGCACTTAAGATGTTTATCTTACCTAAACTACAATATGTATTATGCATGTTGCCTGTATTAGCCCCACAAGCTTACTACAAAATGATACAAAAAGACATGACTAAGTTTATCTGGGCAGGCACTAGACCACGAGTGGCCATGGAAATGCTCCAAGCACCGATGAGAGTGGGTGGCCTAGCGGTCCCAGATGTCAAAACGTATTATTACGCCTCTATCCTATCCTCAATTCTACCTCACTTTTTTTTAAGGGCAACCCACCCCTGCGTGTGGTAATGGAAAGCAATCTGTTACAACCATTTGCCCTACCCAACATATTTTGGCTACCTAAAACGCATAGGCCATCCCTACCCACAGCATCAAAGCAGATAACATTGAGCCTCCACGTATGGGATACCCACAGATCCTTAATAAGCTCCTTGACCCACACCTCATTGGCCACACCCATCATGGCCCTCCCATACTGCATTCCTACCTTTCATACCAGACCATGGCAAGAAAAAAACTTGACGCACTTATACCACATTCATTCTCAGGGGAAATTATTAGACTTCCCACACCTACGAGATACCTATAAGCTGCCACATGCCTCACAATTCTCCCATATGCAACTGAAATCTTACCTATCCCGGAGACAATCTACTGACCCTCATCCGGTCTGGGTGTACCCCTTCCATGGGGATTGTCATAAAAGGCCAAATGTGGCTCCTATTAAATTGAGATTCGATCACCCCTTCATGAAGTCTTGGCACATGTTTGGGGGATTGGAGAACTATATTCACTCTGGGGATTGCTATATCACACTACTCCCCTGAGTATAATCACTAGCTCTTATAAGAGCTGTTCCTGCAACACTCTCTGGATTAGGAGAGGTCTACCCACTGGAAGCTGGATCCTGGTCTTGGGTCCAGGGTGGG